TTTTAAAATTATAAAACCTTACAAATTTAAATTTCCTTAAAATTTTAAAATTTTAATAATTTATTTTATATTTTTTAAATTAATCTTAAATTCAAAAAAAATCAAAGAAATTGTTAGTTGTTGTAAAATTTATTTTTAGACAAAGTATCTTTATAATTGACATTATAGATTTTTCTAATTGTTACTTATTTAAAAGAAATTATGATTATATATTTTTTATATTTAATTATAAATATTTTATCTTTAATTATAAATATTTTAACTTTCAATTCTTGTAATTTTATTTTAAGAAGATAAATAAATCATTAAAAATGGCTTTACTTTATGTCTTATATGTAAATTTTAAAAATTATATATATTTTTAATGACTACTTTAATCTTAAATAATCAGTTGGTATTCTATCTTATTGAAGATTCAAACTTGTATAAAATATTTGAAGGATCTTCTTTAAATTCTAAAAAGTAGATATTAGCTATTTAATTTCTTATCTTTATTTTCAGAATCCAAAATAAAATCTTCTTATATAATTAAATATTTACATAATATCTAAGTTTTTCCATTAATTATTGCCAATATAATTTGAAATTTTTATCATCAAATAAATTACAAAAGTGCATTTATATAATAAAATATTTCCAAAATTACATTGCTTTATTGAGATATAATTAACAAACACACATCTCAAGTTCTCTTAAGCCATATATTAGCATTATTAAATCTCTTGAGAAATCTTTAAAAAATGTCCTAATTGCTTAAAGATGTAGATTGTAGATTTACTATCTATAATCTTTAAAAAAAACTTTATTTTAAAAATATACACAATATAATATATTTTACTATTTAACATGTAAGATTTTTATGCTAATATTAGATATCATATTAATAATATAATATTTTTAAAATTTTAAGAGTAATAATATAGATGAATAAAATTTAAAATATTTTTTTAATACATTAATAAATAAAAATACAAATACAAATGTTTCAATAAAAATTGTTTCAAATTCATAGATATCTTGTCATTATATCAAGTTTATTTTTTAAATAAACTTGAAAATTAAAAATCAAAATATTTCTAATCTAAAAACATCTTTCAATCAATTAATCAAGGTGCATATTGATGTAGCTATTTGAATCAGAAAAGTTTCATCATGATTTTCATATTTTTTTCTTAAATATTAACAAAATAATTAGCATGCTAAGAAAAAAAAATACCACTATTTATATATTAATATAGAATATATATAATCATTAGAAAATATAATTATTTATTAAAAAATAATTTAAAATAAAATATGTCATTTACGAATAGAAATAAAAAAATTAATAAGTGCATGTAGAAGTTGTATATGAATCTTATAAGTAAATCAAATAAATTTTGAGGTTTTTTATTAAATACTTCTTTCTAAATCCAGAATGAACCACTGATAAGTATTGTAGGTGCATAGATAAAAATTTATAACATAAATTAATATATCATATTTATCATACTAAAAATTATAATTATATTGTATCTCAACTTAGTATATTCTATTATTCATCATTTTAGATCCAAGTAAGAAAAAAAATTACATACTTAAGTTAAAAAAATTATGTTAACTCAAAGTGTGTGTGTGTGTGTGTGTGTGTGTATATATATATATATATATATATATATATGTCTTTTTTTGTTAAACAGTTTTTATGAAATGTTTTAAAATTTAAAAATTATACTTCTATTAAATAAAATGTATCTACCTTTAATGATAATAGTAGTAATTATAATTTAAGCCTTTTATAATTCTATTTAAAATAAAATACATAAATATTTGTGATTCAATCTAACTTTATTTCTTTGAAAGTATATATATATATATATATATATATATATTGAAATGACCACCCTATCTAAAATAATAAAACTTAATCAACTTCAATCAATTAAAATGAAAACAATTGATTCTTTACTTGCAAGGGGCCCAAGTATCAAAAATATTTTTTTAACGTTTAAATTTGGGTCCTATTTCTCCCTATATAGAATTAATTTGAAATGTATTCTTTTGCATGCAAAAACGTATGAGAGTGGTCCAATGAAAGCTAAAAAACCTTATTTGCTTTTGAAAGTAGGTAAAGAATCTAAAACATGTGGTACCACCTATAACACAAAGTCTATACATGAAAAGTTTTTCTTGTGCGAAACATTATGTTCATATATGGCTCTCAGCACTATGAGGATCTTAAGGCTTAAAATCATGCATCAGATTTGAAATAAGCTTTTGGAACAAAAGCGCAATGCATGCATGTTTGTATGTATATATATATATATATATATATATAGAAACAGAAACAATAAAGTGTGTTTGATTCCCAAAATCAAATTTGAGAAAAGCTTTTGGGATGAATTACAGAAAGTGCAATATATATGTATATGCATATAAAATAAAGTGAGTTAGATTCCGAAAGGTTTCTTAAATGAGAATGGTGGGATTACAAATGGAATATGTTTTGAAATATTCTAAAATGGTTGAACTATGAAGTTGAAGAGATGATAATAAAGTTTAACATGAGTCCCAAACAAGTATTATTTGTACCTTTCGCTTCTAGCACACGCCCGAAGATCTCAAATTACATAGTTGGATAAGTTTACGTTCTATATCAAACCCAGTGGCGTCACAGGCGGCACAGCGAGGGGACATTCGCCCTCGGCGACGTCGCTGCATGGGGGTGTCCTGGCCGTCCAATCGCCTCGATTCACAAGTCGCTACGCTTCCTGGTGATCGTGCGGCCTCAGTGCCCAGGCTTTGGGCCTGCAACTCTCCTCCTCCTCACACCTGCTTCCCTCTCGTTTCCACTGAAATCCGCACCACAACTCTCCAATTTTACGACATGTTGTTCCTCATGAATTTTTCACCTCTCTGTCGTCGCGACGCTACCGCTCCTTCTGCGGCTCACCATGAAGGTTGTCGTGGGGCAGCGTGTTTGGTGGCAGTGCACCAGCCCATTTTGTATCAGTTTCCCTCCTGATTTGAGAGTCTGATCGGACAAAGGCAGCTGATGCTATCCGGGAGTTTAAGCTGAGAAAGCAGGGTATAATATTTCTTAGAACTGGTGTGGAGTTTACCGGGAATGAATGTTATAAGTTGCCGAGATTGCATTTGTGTGTGGGTGCGTTTTTAGACACTCTGAGGTTCGATCTTGGCAGTGGAGCGTTGCACCTGCATTTCGTAGTGGCCCTTCCAGGAGTTGGCGCGGCAAACTTTGTTGCCACGTTTCTACGCGATTTTGATTGTGTCATACATGTTTTTGAGCCCAGTGCGATACTCTGTGGTAATCCTGGGCGAGGGGTTTGTGGCAGAGGGGACTGTGTGTACTGAGTCGCAAATTTAGAACAAAATTTAATCACAGACGGCTTCCACGGCAAAATTCATTTCCCCCATAGAGTTGCAGCCAAGAAACAAAATGTGAGGGAACAACGTTCTAGCTCGTTTTGCAATTGGTTATCAGTGTCCTACTTGTTCTTCCCCCTAATGCTTCTGCACATTTTCCCCAGATCTGAGGTCACTGTGGCGCCGCTTATTGTTAACTAGTTTTTGCACGGAGAGGGACCCCCTTTCGTCATCTCTGGTACGTTTCGTCTCCATCCCTAATCCTCTCTTCTCAGCACTTCGACCTAGCAGTAAATGAGCTCGTTTCTGTTTCATCGTGAGATGGTGGAACTTTACAGTCACACTTTCAATCTCACGATAGAGGTCTGCTGTTGGGTTCGTCCGTCTAAGTTCATGATCCTGTCTCGTCTTCGCTAAGCCCTAGGCTGTTGCATTTCCGAGCAGATCTCTTCAATCATCGTCTTCAACCTTAATCAATAGTGTTCGTATCCATTTTGGAGCACCACCTCAGATGCTTATTGGGTGCGTCGATGATTTCAGACCCAGTGTATGGTCTGCATACTTGTCAACCAAACCTCCGTCATGAATGGCTCTGTTTCGCACATGCGCGTTCTATTTCGAGTATCCTTGCCTCGGTGATACACGAAATTTCATGGTTTATTCGGCTTGCCTTCGTTTCTACGTTGACCCAGATAGCTCAGTTAATACGGAAATTGTTCGGGAGTTGGTGCTATATTCTTCTTGAATGTGTTCTGACGCCAGCCTTTCCCTAAAACCGTGGATTCACTATGCTTCTATAACCATGCGAGGATTTGCCTCTTAAAGTCCGACTCAAATTCTACGATATTTTTGCTTTTGCACGACTTCAATATATCTCTTTGCTTTCCGGGAGAGTTAGGACATGAAAACAAGCATCCTTCTGTCTTTGCAAAGTCGCAATCTGGCGCTAATTCTCGGTTATGTACCTCATCATGTCTCATCTCGTACAACAGACCTATCTGAACTTGTCTCGTCTAGAGTTATGCCTATGTTCATTTGTTGCCATACTTTGGGGTTGCTAAATACATTATCCCCAACCTCACATTGCACAGCAGACTTCACTCTCTAGACGCACTTAAATGCAGAAACAGAGGGTAAAGTTTCTGGGCGCCGAAGTCAACAGTTGCAAATTCAACTCGTCGCTAGATTTACCCAACCCAAGTCTAGTGAATCTTTTGCGCTATTCACTGGTAACCGAAATTATTCGCTAAAACGATTAAGATATTGATGTCATAAATTCGCCACACACTGAAGGCTCTTCGTATAGACTCTAGTTACATAGTGACCGCAAGATTTGAAGTGTCATGCTGGTACTGATGGGAGCAGCTATCCGCAAGGTATGATACTCCTGTTCCGCCATCTCGAGGAATTTTTCCCTCGGCCTCTGCCTGAAAAATATTACGCCAGTGCTTGCCCTGTGCCTTTCCCCAATCAGCGTCGTAATGTTAGCTACCTCTATCTGCTCATTTCGGCTATCATATATCACCTAAAAATCATGTTCCAGTTACAAAATATGTGAAATAACTGTTAGGAAGGGTAGGCTTTTCCTTTTATCAGTTGGAAGTCGCCGCCGCTCTGTATTCATTCTACTACTCTCCTCTCTGGGCCTTGATTATAGATATCAAGTCGTAGTTTTACCTTTTCATAATTCTAACCTCGTTTGTTGACAGGATATGTTTCGAGTTTTATAATTCTACCGATACGGCTGAATTTGGTGACTTGGAATTGAAATTCACCTCATCTGTAGGATCAGGACTGCGGGAAACGACCGATGTCGATTGAGTCTGCATCCCTCAGGATGCTAACAGGTATGGCTGCTGTAAGGGTAATGATGCTGCTCGCGCTGGTGCTGCCCACGGTGTCCACAATAGCGGATCTAAGCTCTGGATACCGTATGACTGAAATCAACGAACTGGCCGACGGAAGCGGAGTCGTAGCGCACTTGGAACTTACCAGTGGGTGTGAAACTTACGGACCCAACTTAAAAGAACTCAGGCTCACCGCCAGGTGCCTCCCCATTGCTCAGTATAGGGCTCAATTCTCCTTTCTGGAGACATTTTTCCTTTAAAACTTATTCCAGAATGAGCAGAAGAATGTTCTCATTGATTCAATTTTTTCTTGTGCGCGATTTCCAGGTATGAGGACGGCGGTCGGGTTCACATCCACATTACCGACCCATTACTCCCCCGATGGGAGATCCCGGACATGCTCATCCCGCGCGACCGCGTGGAGCATATACCCATTGGCCAATCAACCTCACCAATTCGTTTCACGGAGACGTCCTACACGCTCAAGCGAGAGAGCAACTGGATTGCTTCTCACCAGCTTAAAATTACCTGGACAAAGGACCCCTTTAGCTTCTCCATTATTAGAAGATCAAATGGAGATGTTTTGTTCAACACGCTTCCAGAGGCCGAAGGGGGCAGGTACGCCTTCAACCCCATGGTGTTCAAGGACCAGTACCTGGAGATATCTACCCGCTTGCCACAAAACTCGTGCCTCTATGGGTTGGGCGAATCGACTCGCCCTTCTGGCATGCGGCTCGTGCCCGGACAGAGCTATACGTTGTGGGCTACAGACATTGGCAGCTGGAACCTGGACTTTCCCTTGTATGGCAGCTATCCTTTCCTGATGGACATGCGTCCGGATGGTCAAACGCACGGAGTGCTGTTCTTGAACTCCAATGGCATGGACATTGAATACAAAAGCGGCGACTCGCTGACGTTTCAGGTGATCGGCGGCGTCTTCGACTTCTATTTCTTTGCGGGGCCGTCGCCCATGGGAGTAGTGGACGAGTACACGCAGCTTGTGGGACGGCCTGCGGCGATGCCATACTGGTCTTTCGGTAAAGATTTTCTAATGATTTCTCTCTACATTTTTTATTTTTTTATTTTTTTAAAAAATATGTAGTATTTCTCAGTTCAACAGCAATGCATTTGCAGATGGTCAAGTGATGGTCCAGAGTCTCTTCGCTGATTATTAATTCCATTTAAATGTTAGGCTTTCATCAAGCTCGTTACGGGTACAAGGACATCGAAGAGCTGGAATCGGTTCTGGCGAAATATGACGCCATCAATTTCCCGGTTGAGTCAATCTGGGCCGACATTGACCACATGGACGGATACAGAGACTTTACCTTGCATCCGGAGCACTTTCCCGAGAAGAGAATGCGGAGCTTTGTTCAAGGTCTTCACTTGAAAAATCAGAAGTTGGTCATGATTCTTGACCCAGGTACACAATCAGTGATGCTACGACCATGTGATTGCTGCTTGAATGAATTACTGTCAAATTTGCCATCAATAAATAGAACCTGCTTAAGCTCAAGCTTGTGCTGGCACTTGAACTAATAGGAATCAAGATCGACGAGACGTATGCAACATTCACACGTGGGAGGGAGCTTGGTGTTTACCTTAGAAACGGAACTGGGGATGGTTATTACGTCACTCAAGTGTGGCCGGGAGCCACCCACATTCCTGACTTTCTGCACCCCAACGCGCTTGATTGGTGGACCAAGGAGGTGGAAGAGTTTTACAAGATTGTTCCTTTCGATGGAATCTGGTTGGATATGAATGAGCCAGCAAATTTCTGCAGCGGGCCGAACTGCTGGTTCGACCCTGCTGTGCCGTGCATTATCATCGACTCTTGCTGCATGACTTGCGACAATGATCCGGATAAGCTCACGCGCTGGGATAATCCGCCCTACAAAATCAACGGCTATAAGTCCAAATTGCCGATTTATAAGAACACCGTGGCTACAAGTGCCCTGCATTACGACGGCACCCCGGTTTATAACACTCACAACGTCTACGGTATGGCCGAAGGACTCGCCACCTACAAAGCCTTGGAGAAGGTAACGAGTTTAAACTCACAGCCGATTTCGACAGATAAAGTGACGAGGACGACGAATTCGACTATTTCTGAATTTTTGAAATAAAATATGCTGCTGTGCAAACTCATATGTGAGAAGCTTTGGGATGGTTTTGGGATGCAGGTACAAAAGAAGCGGCCATTTGTTTTGTCTCGGTCTTCCTTCGTGGGCGGGGGTGCACACTCCGCGCACTGGACTGGTGACAACGGTGCGACATGGACCGACATGAAACACTCGATCGCCAGTATGCTGAACTCTGGCTTGTTTGGAGTACCAATGGTGGGCGTCGACCTCTGTGGATTCTACATGGAGACAAACGAGGAACTTTGCGAGCGGTGGACGCAACTCGGGGCATTCTACCCTTTCGCCCGTTCCCATTCCGACATTCACACAGGCCCGCAAGAGATTTACCTCTGGAAGTCCGTCACCGAGACGGCCTCAAAAGCATTTTACTGGCGATATCGTCTTCTACCCTTCTTCTACACGCTCATGTACGAGGCGCATACGTCCGGCGCTCCGATAGCTCGGCCCCTCTTTTTCGAGTACTGGGAGGACAAAGAGACGTGGGAGATCGACACCCAATTCCTCCTCGGGAGTTCCATCCTTGTCTCCCCGGTTTTGGAACCTAATCAAACCTCCGTGCGCGCTTATTTTCCGAAAGGCATATGGTACAACCTCTTCGACACGTCTGACGTGATCCGCGCGGAGGACCACGGGATCTGGAAGCACCTCTCCGCACCCAAGGACACGATCAACGTCCATGTCCGGCGAGGTTCAATCGTCCCAATGCAGGACTTCGCCATGACGACCACGCTCGCAAGGAAGACCCCCTTCTCCCTCTTGGTGGCTTTCGCACCATCCTTCCACTTTGCGGAGTTCTGCGCGGCGGGACGCTCGATCGTCTGCCGGGGCATTGACAGGGAGTTCGCCACGGGGCAAATTTATCTCGACGACGACGCCCAACCTACCATGGACATCACCGAGGGGCGAGCCTCACTTGTAAAGCTGGAGGCGATTCGTACCTACGGGCACTACGTCCTGCGCTCCACTGTGACCCAGCCAGACTGTGCCATCAATCAGAGGCTAATAATCAACACCGTTGTGGTTCTCGGCTTGCAGGCGCGGCCGTTCAGCGTGCATTTGAACGGCCGTCTCGCATCGGTCCAGGTGAACGCAAATGACTCCATGATGGAGCTTTCGGGACTGAACCTCTTCGTCCGTGAAGCCTTCGAGCTAATCTGGAACATCATGCCCAATGGTAACGGCGTTCATTCCCGCTAGGAATATGACTGCACATTGAAATCCTGGTTGTAAACCTACCCATTTGTGTAGACTAGACTTCCATTTACTGATCTCTGCTTCGACAGATCGATCTGATCTACCTGTCACTGCTTCGGACCTATCCCCAAGTCTACAGCGCTGTTGATTAATCGAACTCGTGAAGGAGGCGACTGAGGAAATTAGCAGGCTTAACAATTCTAGTTGTATTGTTCTTCGTATTTTTCTAGGTGTTGGCCTGCAGCCATATGGTCTTCGTTGTCATTTTTAGGAGTTAGTTGGCCTGCATGGTGCAGATAGACAGACGGACAGACTAGTATTTCTAGTGACGATGGTGGCGTGGCTTAACCTAGAAAAAGAAGTGTCGGTATGGTTTGTTTCAATATGACTTTACGTTGTACTCTCGAATTCAACATCAAAATGTGGCCTGAAATTGATTCAAATATCAAAAAGCCTTGGCAGTGGATAGGTTTCGGTATTTGCTTACAAAGTGCTTGTTTTGAGGAGTTATGGGGTGGAAAAGCCATGATTGTTGTAGAATCAACTTGGCAAAAAGATCACTTTAACCTTAATCGATGCATTCTCTTAAAAACATATTAGCTGAACAAGAGTTTTGTTGATCATATACTTTTCTATGTATGACTATTAAAGTTGCTCTAAGATATAGAATTCTTAATTGGTTTACAAATAATGCATTTTTTTTTAACTAAATCATTTGTTAAATGAAATGATTCTACTAATAAGTCATAGATTATCTTATAACATGATGTCCTTGATTTTAAAATTGTATCACCAAATTAAGATTTTAAAAATTATATTAGAATTAAGGTAAAAATATTTTATTAACTAATAATTATGTTATGTATTAAAATTTTGATTTATATAATACAATATTATAATAATAAAACTATAGGTTTTTTTTTTTAAAATATTATTTAAGTACATTTTATAATTCTAAAAAATCATTATACCATATCATTCAGTTTTTAAAATAATAATTTAAAAATAGAATATTTAGGTATTAAGAATATTATTTAAATTCTCAAAAATCAAATTAAATCATATAACTATTATGAAACTGCAAAGATTCTAATTTTGTGTTTGTTTAATTTTGCATTCTCAATTAATATAATGTTATATTGAATGTTGATTTTATTAATTTAAACTTAATATTATTAAATATAAAGACATAGTTTCAAAATATATTTCCAAAAAATACATAAATTAGATTTTTTATGAGATTTAAGACAATATAACATATTATTTAAAAGTATAATAATTATTGTATTATAAAATAAGTATTAGTTAAATTATAGTTAATAATGTTTTTATATCATGATAGATATTATATTAATATATACATACATACATGATTAGTTAATTTAAATATTTAAAAATACTATTGACAATGTCATATTACTTATAAAATAAGTCATTATATTGATGCACTGACCTTCACAATATAGTAAAAAAATAAAAATTTATGCAATAATTTATTTTAATAATTTTTAATAACTTGAATTAAATTATATATTAATATTATTTTAAAAATAATAAATATTTATCTACAAAGTATGTAATTACTATTAAATTTATAAGCACTTCTAAACTATTTATATAAATAACTTAATCTTCAACAACTGTTTGATTTCAATTAGATAAAAAATAGAACATTGGATTTAAGTTTTCAACAATCATTTTTAAAACCTACATGATTTACATATACTACTACAAAGCAAAAATGACAATATGTCTATAGTATTCTAGATATAAACCAATTGCATATTTTACAACTTGATTTTTTATTATTATTATAATAATAATTAATGTAATATCAATGGAATTAGTTTTAATATTAATATTACTATATATATAAGTAATATTATATATATTATATTATAAATTTAATTTTTATAAGATGTATATGACTTAAAATTCAATAAAAGAAACTATTATATAAAACTTCTACTATATACTAATTAAAAAAATAAAAATTTATCATCTATAATTTTTTTTTAAGTGAACGTAATGTCTACATTAATATTTGTTTGAATTCATTGATATTTTATTTTCTTAAATTTAGAATTTGAATTTTTTATAATAATATTTTATGCCACAACTTTAATAATTACAATAGTTTGGTATATACTTGAAGTAAAATAATTGTTATTTTGGACATCTTAATAAAATATTCTATTAAATTACACTTATATTTTGTTTATCAACAATTACTTTTTGATAAATATGTTAGATAGATTGTATTGTTTTTGTGATTAGTATTTTAAATTCAATATTATTCTTTACTTATTAACTATCTTGGTTTTTCTAAATTGAAAAATTTATAATTAAGAGATTTTCTTTTTTGTTTCTTTGTTTTTTTTTTCTTACATTTCAATTATAAAACACATTGGAGGATATAAATCAACTAAATAAACCAAGGAGAAAAATTGGCCTTTTTATTGATTGGATTTTTCAATTATCATTATTTTCATTCAAAATTTTGCTTTATTGCTTCCATCAAAACTTAATTTAATTTTCCAATTCACAGGGCCTTAATAAAATTAATCTTAAACTAAGATGAAGATATCTTAAAATTTAAACTAGAGTAAGTCTAGTCCATATCAATATTTACTATCATATTAAACATATGTCATTGTAACATATGTAGATATTTATCAATGCAATAAAAAAAACACACCATAAGCAAAAAAAATTGGTATTGAAATAAATAACTATTTTAATGAAATATAGTGACTGTAAAAGTGAAACATGTAGTTGTATATTTTATTATTATAGGATTTGTATTGTATGTTGGATGTTGATATTTGAGGACATGATAGATTGTATTTGTTTTTTTTTATTTTCATTCACAAAATGTGGCTCCAAGAGGCAAATATATGTCATGGATATACATATTTACCTAGATAAGAAGTACTACATAGAAGATAAATGTAGGCAGATTTGATATTATCTTATAGCAAAGCTTCTTAAAAGCTTTATAGTCATATATTTGACTTTATATATATTTATATTTTATTAATAGGTTAAAAACTTAGCCAATAAGTTAGTCATGTGTTGCCTGTGTGGATAGTTTGTAGTACAAGCTAACAATGTGGCATGCACATATGAAACTTATCTTGCAAGTTAAGATACTTGTATTACAAATTAGACATGTATTGGAGGTCTTATAGAACATTGCGACATATTTCTTAGTTAAATAATACATATAAGGCAAGAGTGAAGTCTTTTTTACTCTTGTCAACGCCTTTTTAGTCTTTATTCTAAATCTAAGACTTTCTAATCTCCATGTCTTTAGCAATAGCCATTCTAATTTAATATTATATTATCTTTGAATAAAATTCTAGTCCTTTGAAGTGACATAAGAATTTATTGAACTTTTAGTTGTTTGAAATTTATGTCCGTGATAATTTGACAAGAATGCTAACTTCTTCCTCTTGTTTTATTTTAGAATTGAGTGAACTACTCCACTTCTACTATTGTATTTTAAAAATTGTGGACTATCCACCTTTAAACTAATTTTTAATTTTTTAACACATTGATTTTTTTAAAAAAAAATTGAATAGACTATTCTTCTTTGTAGAAGTTTTTATTTGTTATTAAAGGTTGTAGATTATCCTCCTCTAATTTGACATGTAAATTTATTTGAATTATCTATAGAAGAAAAAAAAATAATAGATATTACTCACAATAAAAGTAAAAATAGATTTACAACTATTGCAAATCTTCACAAGCTTATTAATATTCATAAGATTAAAATTTCAAGTATTTTTAATGTAAACCATGGAGGTATTATTTTTATGCATATAGAAGAAGTCAATAATGAAATTCAAACTCTATGCAAAGAAGTTATGTAATTGAGAGAAGCAAGTAGATCAAGTTCATAATTGAATGATAAAAGTCTTTTTCCTACAAACATGAAAGAGACAAGGATAAGTATTTTGGAGAAGTTTAATAGAACAAGATCAAAGTTTTAAGGATTTCAACAACAAGTGAAGCTCTTTCCAAGGTTACATCCTTCATAATATCCAAGCAAATTTATTCAAGTTGAATTCATATGTGCATTTCTATCTACGAGTACTTTTTCTTGGTTTGTATATTTGATGGAAAAGAATGCATAGCTCTTTTATGATCTAAATTCATTCTTAAAAGTCAGTATGGCTACATTTGAAGAAAGTGATTAAGAAAAGATAGTACACACCTAATTCTTATCTTTATGATAAAGATCACATTTAGCTACTATATATGATGTAAAATTCCAAAACCTTGCTTGCATTGTAAATTGGAATAACAAAGCTCTTATTGATTAATTTTAATATGAGATAAAAAAAAATAATATTAAAGATTTATTATTAACAATATTGAGAACAACTTCATTGAAGCGATTTATTGTTTGTCATTACATACAACAATTGTCTCTTTAAAAGATGCCAAGAATAAAAGTTTTCTTAGAGAATTACAAGTCAAGTAGTAGTCAGAACTTTGTAGTTTAAAAAAGCTTATTTATTAAAGCACGAAACCTATGTAAATTAATATGATACATTTCAAATTTTTTATTGAGTAAGAAAATACTTGACGTTATCAAGAAAGACTATACTTATATTATAGAGTACGTAAGTACACTACTTAATATTCTACAAAAAAGTAATGTAATTACAAAATGAAGAGTATAGCTGCTAACAAAGATAATATGTTGGAAAATATGTTTCTTCAACTATAATAAGAATCATATAGCTAGAATCTTATATGATATTTAATTAAGATTCTATTCTTTCATCACATTCTTCATTTTATTTTATAATAGAAGTATGTTTAAGATCAAAAAATTAAAAAGTCTTTATCTTCTTAGATTCATGAATCTTAGCTTGTATCATAGACAAAGCCTTCATTAAAAAATAAGAAATATCTTTAATTAAAAAAAAAAAAAATTATGCATGTAGAAGTCATAGATGGTCATTTTTTGTCCTTTCAAAATATTATCCATAAAAAATTCCTTTAGATGTAGCAACTAAAGGTCATAATAGCTTAGTAATATTTAATATAATTAGGTCTTTTTTTAATCTAATTATTTTAAGATTATCATAGCTAAAAAAGTATAATCTTCAAATAGATTGAATTTTGTATAATCTTAATATTTTTCAATAATTTAGCTTAAGTTTCTACTAATCAAGTAGAAACCCCTAAATCCAATACATCCAAATTCTTATTGGTAGGTGTGAAGGCTTTCATGCATATTGCAAAAGAAGGGTCAACTTTTGCAATCCATGGCATATCAATTTTCAATCGAGAAAATATTTCAAATGGCATTCCACGCCAATACTAAGATTATTAAGAATCTAAATATATATATATATATATATATATATATATATATTCTTCCAAAGTATTATTTTATGATTGTTCCATCAATCTTTAA